CTGCCCCCCTCACCACTTTTGTGGAAACCTCACCCTCCTCACCCTCCTCACCCCCTGATCACATGAACACATCAGGAAGGCCAGCCACAGAGGAGCTCAAGACTGAGTCCCGATCCTCGCTCCTGCTCCAGGCCATCACAGCCAACATGAGGCCGGCCGCTCTTCAAAGCAGGACCAGGATAGCACAGAAACTTCCAGAGAGCTCAGAGGGAGTTCTGGAAACACCTCCGAGACCCCTGCCCCAGGTCATGTTCCCAAAGAACGTGACCTTAGCTGAGGCTCTGGCCACTCCGCTGGGGACGCTGATAGACGTGTGGACGGACGTATGTCGGGGCTATTATGACGTGATGGGGCATTTTGACAGCCCTTTCAACTGCTCCAAGGAAACCTACATCTACTGCTGTGGAACCTGCCACTATCGGTTCTGCTGTCCAGAGCGAAGCCGAAAACTGGAGCAAGAAAGCTGTACGAACTACGACTCACCAGACTGGGCCAAACCACAGACCGATCCCGTGTTTATACCAGACGACTCAGGTTCCGACCCAGACTTTGACCCGCTGAAACAGCAGAGCCACAACACCGGCTTCGTCATCGGAGGTGTGGTCATATTCATGGTGGTCGTAGCTGTTGGCATCAAGGTGGTCTTCAACAAGGTGCAGCACGAAGCTAACCAAAGGGACCTAAATATGCCCAGGTAGGTCCCAGAAAATATTTGTATGTATTTGTCCACCACTTTAATATATAATATGAAGTCATTCATGAAATTTGACTTATCAATCAATCAATCAACCAATCTATCTATCTATCGATCTATCTATCTACTGTATTTTTCGGACCATAGGGCTCACTGGATTATAAGGCGCATTAAGCGAAACAAAACAGTCAATCAGTCATACCGGGATCCCTCTGATCAATATCCGAGTCAGTCTCGTGGCTGTTACTTAGTTGTTCAGTGATGATTCCGGCCTTTGTCAGACTGATACCTTAGCCCAGACAGTGGCGTAACTCGTCAGGCGTCGCCTCCCTGTCTTGGTGAATCTGTGTTCGCCTTCTGTCATCCAATGCTCCCACGCAGCTCGTAATTTAACTTCGAACACCCTGTTAACGCCAATATTTAGCGGTTGGAATTCTGTGGATAATCCACCTGGAACGATGGCTAGCCCCAAATTAGTTTGTTTCACTTGGGTTTTAACAATATCGGTGAAATGGATCAATAGGGACGGAGATTTGTGGAAAAGGTTAGTGACCTAAGTTGGACACAGGAGGGCGCTGTTGTTGATGTTCGCCCCTCCAGAGTCAGGCGGTTGTCATTATTTTTGTTCTGGGTGGTCACCGTGTCGTTGTTTTGACGCTGGCTGTTGTTTCGTAGAGAGAGTGTGTTTTTCCTGTATCGATTAAAAAAAGAGAAAGAAGAAGAGTTTTTGACCACGAAAAAATCGACAGTCCTGCGTCTGAGTCGTCCTGCATCGCACCATACATCGACAATTCAAAAACACAACGCTGAGTCTCCGGGTGTTGGGAGGCACGACGCGACGTTGCGCGGATTTGGGTTACAGAACCGTACACTAACAGTTGTTAAACATGTTCTAATGGTGAAAACAGAGTTAAAGGTCATTGTTGGCTCCCATTGGGCTTCAGTTCTGTGACATCTCTATGGTTTGACTTTATAAAATCTGTTTGAGCTCAGTCAGCACAACCACAGGTAATACGGCGCACCGGGTTATAAGGCGCACTGTCGGTTTTTAAGGAAATTAAAGGATTTTAAGTGCGCCTTATAGTCCAGAAAATACGGTATCTTTCTATCTATATCTATATCTATATCTATATCTATATCTATATCTATATCTATATCTATATCTATATCTATATCTATATGAATATATCTAGGAGGAGCACTGCTTCAAGTACAGATATACTGTCTGTATATGTATGTAAATATGTTTATAAACAGTTTTTATTATTCATAAATAATCACAATTATGATTATTGACAGCCCCAAGATATGTGTGTTTGTGTGTGTGTTTGTGTGTTTGTGCTCCCCCTCATGGTGGGCGGGGGAATCTGACATTGTTTTCCTTGTGTGTGATATTTGTGTGACAGACATTTTCTTATCTTTGACTTCTTGTCTTCCATGTCCAACGGTCCAGGGCTTTGGTGGACATGCTGCGGCACCAGTCCAGCCCTGTGCAGCAGGATGAGAGAAACAATAGCGTGGCTCTGCCTGTGGGGGACGGTCAGGGGACTCTGGGGAGAGGACAAAAAAATATTTATGCCCCAGGCCTGCCCAGCAAAGACAACAGATGTGAGGAGAAGTGTTACTACAGCATGAGTAAACTGCACAGTCGGACACAGTCGGACACAGTCGGACAACCTGCTTAGATCTCTTTTCTGTCCAGATGTTCTGTCAGTGTAGTTGATTCAAAGAGGCAATAATCAAAGTCAAAGTGAACTCATGTGAATTGCTACATAATTGTCGTGATCTTTTTATGTCTAAATGCCACAAACGTGAAACTGCTTGACATCCATTTTATGAGCTGATTACCTTATGTTCTCTCTTACAGTGGGCAATTTGCAGCACAATTTCATCCACTCATCAGGCTCCAGTCCTAAACACACCGCCACCATCGGTAAGGCAGCTGTGAAATGGGAGCTGGCATGTAAATGACCTGTAATCAGCACGGAGCGTGGTTGACTTCATCAGCTTCCTTCATCAGAGCGCCGGTTCCCCAGGGCTCTGATGGAAGGTGAGACAGATGTGGGTTAACGCACGCTCGTCTTCTTTCCCCGCTCTCTGTAGAGCGCACGCCGAGGATGAACAACGCTCAGCTGGCAGCTGGGGGCACTCTGCTCTCCAGCAAACACAACAACAACAAATCCCAGCCTGCCTTTCACCACTCGCTGCACAACCTGGCTCAACTGCCTCCATCTTATGAAAGTGCCACCAAGCCTGAGCTCAACAGATACTCCTCGCTCAAACGCCTCGGTACGTACCTGTGCCAACCCCCCCCTCCCCCCCGCTCCTCCCCCGTGGTGGGATTGTCCTGTTTCATTCTGCTGACTGATGATGTCATCAATGTCATCACTCATATTCATGTGTTCACGTTCATTTGTTTACATCATCAAATGAGCTGCACTACACATTATCTTCACTCTGGCTTGGTTCAACCTCTGGTCAGCGGCCCAGCTGGTGTCAGAGCAGCCTGACTGAGATCAGGACTGAAGTCTAGAGAGGACTGAAGTTCTACCAGACCCTGTCCAGATGAACAGTCAGGACCGACATAAACCGACTCTAAGAAGAGACATTTTCATTTGTCCAGATTAATAATCCTATCACCTGGATAAGAACACAGATAAGAACAGGGGAGAAACACTGACACCTACCTGCTGACATTGGTACTGTCTGTTCTGGAAATACATTCAAATGGTTTTTTTTTTCATATCACATTTAGGAACTCGGTGAATTGTAATTAATCACGATGAATTGCTAACCCCCAAATGAGTTAGATGAAGTGGAAACTTGACCCGTGACTTGTTCTGTTTGGCTTCCAGAGAAAGGTCTGGATGAGTACTCGTCTGGATACTGCACCACTAAGCGCCGGCCTCACACAGCACAGCCAGCTCTCCAGTCCTCCCAGCACCACCTCCACTGGGGGGGGGACTACACACTCAGCGGGAGAGGAACTCTTCCCAGGCACGCAGCACGTCCCTGGATTCCACCACCACCGTCTGGCATGCCGGCTTCACCCACCCCTAACCCGTATCCTCTGGATCCCCCCGAACCACAGTTCAACCCCAACTACGACACTCTGTCTAAACCGCCGCGGAAAGTCAAGTCCACTGACCAGCTGCTCAACATGGGGGACGTCCCGGGGAACACGGGGACTCTATCCAGGCTGTCCAAGAACCAGCAGCACCAGTACTACAAAGCCATGGCTGCGTCCAATAAGAACTCCAACACCCTGAGCCGGAAAGCCCAAGACAGACAGGAGCGACAGGAGCGACAGGAGCGACAGGAGCGGCTGGGCATGGTCCCCGACCATCTCGAAGACCGAGTGTGG